TTTTGTGGATCCAAGTAAAATTAAATCCTTGACAATTTTGATCATTTCTCTGTTTATCACTGTGTTGTTTATTAGGCCGGTTGTAAGGATTTTTGTTTTCTTGATGTTGAGGTGTAATTCCTACTAAAGACTGTAGTCTTTTATCTTCACCAGGAAGTGCTTCAAGTCCTTTTCACTTTCAGCAAGTAAGGCTATATCATTTGCAGATTTCAGGTTGTTAATGAGTCTTCCTCCAATCCTGATGCTGCTTTCTTCATCACATAGTCCAGCTTCTCAGATTATTTCCTAAGCATACAGATGAAATGAGTACGGTAAAAGTACACAACCCTGATGACCTTCTTTCCTGATTTTAAACCATTCAGCTTTTGTTCTCTTCAAATGACTGCCTCCTGATGTATGTACAGATTCCACATGAGCACAATTAAGAGTTTTGAAACTCCCACTCCTTGAAATGGTGTCTATAATACATTATGAATCACACAGTGAAATGCCTTTAAGGGACATATTTTTATCTTGGCAAATGCAGAATGTTGTTGTGAAGTGCCATCAAGTCAGATTCAACTCATAGTGACCCTGACCCTGTATAGCTTCCAAGGTGCGGATAGTGGGTTTGAACTGCTGACTTTGTGGTTAGCACTCCAGTGCTTATATTGTAGTGCCACACCTGAACTCCAAATGTAGAATTATCATGATGAAATCAGTATCTATTCCTAAGATTCCCAAAGCTTTTGCTGATGTGCCTTGGAGGATTACAGTAAAGTAAAAAAGATACTGCAGAAATTCTAGAGTTCAGAAACGATTAACTCAGAAACTATTTCATAGTTTCAACATCAGCTCATACCACATTTTTCTCAATGAGGTTCCATCTTTGCAAAATTAGGTTTTCAACACTTGCCATGATAAAAGCAAGTACCACATAAAAACTGATATGAAACAGGAAGAGAAGGTAGCATCCAACCTGATTACAAAGTCTCAGAAGGTATATAATGCAAGCAGGTGCAAACAAACCATTAGCAAGTAATTATGCTTAACAATAATAGAAAAAAATACTTTTATTTCAATTTACTACATTTCACGCAATTAACACAAGCATAGCACTTTTTTTTTTTTTTTTTGCAAACCATGCAATCTCTTACAAGTTAGTTTCCTATGAATGCTATGCACATTATACCTGAAAAACATACACTATATGTAATAGCTTTCAAACAACTATTGTGTTTTTAAGACACACATACTCATTAAATTGTTAGGACTTAACTACTTATTAAATCAAAATGTTTGGCCAAAGGGTACCATCAAAAAAAACCCAAAAAACTACTGACACTTTTAAAAGGTGCCAATAGCCAAAAATGTCTGGGAACCTCTAATCTAAAAAATAAATAAATAAATAAATCTGCAAGAAAAAGAGTACAAAAAAAAAAAAAAAAAAGGAAGCTGCTTCCATGAAGATTTCAGTCTTGTAAACCCTATGGGAAAGTTCTACTTTATCCTATAGGATCACAATAGAGTCTCTATGAGTTGGAACTGATTCAACATTAACAGGTCTTGTTCTGATTTGGATGCCACTCAGACAAATTTATACATAAATGATGATGAAAACTGCTCTAGTTGAGGTATGCCCAAATGCATGAAGAATATCAGTTTTTGTCTAGTTTTAGGAAAGGCATCAAAGAAGAAATAAGGGTTTAAAGAGAAAAGCATATACAGAACTATAGGGTAACAGTCCAAAAGAAACAAGTACAAATATCATGAAAAATGGTAACGATAATTGCACAACAGTCAACACATCTTTTAGGAGAGAACAGGTAATAATGATGTAAATAATTGCTAGATTTATAAAACGTTTAATGTAAACTGCTGCTGCTGCTGCCTACCGTTCTTAACTGACTCATAGTGGCCTTAAAGGGTTTCCAAGGCTGTAAATCTTTACAGGTGTAGACAGTCCTATTTTTCTCCCTCAGCAGGTAGATTTGAACTGCTGATATTGTGGTTAGCAGCTCAATGAATAACCCACTACGGTACCAAGATTCCGTTAATGCATACTTGTTAAACAGTGTTGTCGAGTAAATTCCGACTCATAGCAACTCTGTAAAAAGTTTCTGAGGAGCGGCTGGTGAATTTGAACTGCTGACTTTGTGGTTCAAACTGATCCTGGAGTTCAGTGCATTACTGCAATTAATCCTAATAATATTGCATTGAGATAGCAATTTTATGATATGTTTTGTACAAGCAAATCACAAAACCTGATGCAATTGGCATAATTAAACTCTGTAAGTACATTAAAACCAAAAATCTAGGTTTTCAGTTGGATGCTACCTACAGTTAGAACCCTAACCTTATTCTGAGCACTGACATAAATTTAAATACTATCTTCAGTTCTTTGTGTTACGTCTGACCAGTGAACCACCAGTGTAGCAATGACAAATCTGGAAAAGCCCAGGGAAAAGCAGTCTATTCTCAAAAGAGTTGTTGATGTTGTTAGGTGCCATCGAGTCAGTACTGACTCATAACAACCTTATGAACAGCAGAACGAAACACTGCCCAATCCTGGGCCAACCTCACTACTGTTGCCACGCTTGAGTCCATAGATACTGCTACTTGGCCAATCCATCTCATTGGGGGTCTTCCTCTTTTTTTTCCTGACCCTCCACATTACCAAACATGATATCCTTCTCCAGCGACGGGTCCCTCCTGACAATATGTCCAAAGTATGAGAGACAAAGTTTGACCACCTTGGCCCCCAAGGAGCACTCTGGTTGCACTTCTTCCAAAACTGATCTATTGGTTCTTTTGGCAGCCCATGGCACTTTAAATATTCTCCTCCAACACCATAACTCAAAAGCATCAATTCTTCTATGGTCTTCCTTATTCACTGTCCAGCTTTTGCATGCATATGAAGTTATTGAAAATACCATGGCTTGGGTCAGGCGCGCCTTAGTCCTCAAGCTGACATCTTTGCTCTTCAACACTTTAAAAAGGTCTTGTGCAGCAGATTTGCCTAATGCAATACATCATTTGATTTCTTGACTGCTGCTTCCATGAGTGTTGATAGTTGATCCAAGAAGAATGAAGTCCTTGACAATTTCAATCTTTTCTCCATTGATAAGAATGTTGTTTATTGGTCCAGTGGTGAGGATTTTTGTTTTCTTTACATTGAGATGTAATCCATACTGAAGGCTGTGCTCTTTGATCTTCATCAGTAAATGTTTTAAGTCCTCTTCACTTTTCAACAAGCAAGATTGTATCATTTGCATATCGCAGGTTGCTAATGAGTCTTCCTCCAATCCTGATGCCATGTTTTTCTTCATATAGCCCACCTATCTCTTGCAGAGTGGCTTGTGGGTTGGAACCACAAACCTTAATCTAGATTAGCTAATATACACAAAGAACTAGGGAATTTATGTAGATGTATACTTGAGAACAAAGAAGACATGTAGGTTAAAGTGTCAATTAGCACTCATCCTCTTCCTTTTTTGGTTTGCTGGACCAATGAAGACCCCTGTGACTGCTGTTACTAAAAACTTGTACCAATGATTATTTGAAAAACAATCATGGTGACCCAATAGTTTTTTGCAAACCTATGGAAAAGTGAAGCTTTTACTTTTAATTTTTATATATATGATTGGCTTTGTAGAGGAGCACTGGTGGTACAGTAGGTTAAGCATTGGACTATTAACCCAAAGGTCCGTGGTTCCAACCCACAAGCCACTCTGCAAGAGATAGATGAGTCAGTCTGTTACCACAAAGATTTATAGCCTTGAAAACCCTACAGAGAAGTTCTACTCTGAGTCAGAATTGATTTGACAGCAGTGGGGTTTTTTGTGTGCTAACTGGTTTTGTTAATGTTTTTCAGACTAGGGCAGACATAGTTCTGATGACATAGTTCTTCTTTGCTGCATATGTAAACAACAACAAAGAACAGGCATCATGTTCATGAATGTTGGGAGCTATTCTAGAGAATGAACAAAGCCACTGCTGCAAAGTCTTAACTTGAGCAGGCCCCGGTCTGGGTGGTTGATGGTCACGGAATGGCTGTAAAGGCAATCGATGAATAAGGATAAAGTGTTTCTAGCTTGTGAACTAGCCCTAGAGAGAGGTGTGGAAGAGGGATGGTGAGACCAGCTGCTCTACAGCACAGGGAGTTGTGTAGGCTCCTCGAACCTGTAACTAATACTACATGACCTGTCCTCAGGTCGCCAGGAATATTTTGGCCTGTCTCAGGATAGCCAGGGATGAAATTTGACCTCACAATGAATGGCTGTAGTGAGAAAGAAGTGCCACAGATGTGGTTAGAAACAAGGATCATGAAGATGTAAGATGGTGAGACTTGGATCCAGTTTTAAGTCAGAACTGGATTCAAAGTGACCTTCACCATGCAGTCAGTGATAAAGGGAGGTTTGTCCAGCTCATCAATTTAGTAATACAGCTGGTGCAGTTGGACACAGGTCTAATTACAAAGTGGTTATCAACACTACACGGAATAGTAAAAAACAAAAACTCCTATTACTAATAAACTGTTTTATGGTCTGCTAATACTGCTAGTTCACGGCTTTTTTTTCTTAAATATACTTCATTGCCTCATATGATCATGGCAAAAGGAAGATAGTGAGAAAGAGTATATACAGTTCATGTAAAAATTAAATAATTGATAATTCTAAAATAAAAAGGACTTAGTGTCAGGATTTCCTTAAACTAATAGTATAAAATTCTAAAATGGATGGGGAACATTCTGGTCACAGGTCATATAAGGCCCACAAAATCATTTGGTCTGACCCTGCCAAGGCAACCGCAGTTCTAGCCATCACATCAGGGGTGAGTTAACAAAATCTTTGACCAAATATAGCAGGCTAATTTTTTAAGTTGATAAATTTGTATGGCCCACAAATGACATAAATTTTGACAGAAAAATGGTTCCCCATCCCTGTTCTAAAACTACTGTGATCAAACATTACATCTTTTCATAGTCACTCTAAAAGATTAGTTATCTATCATATACTCACCACACTGAAATCAAGATTATCTTCAATCCATTTTTGCCCATCTCGAAATTCATCATGAAGTCCCATGATATAAAGGGTATCCAAAGCATCTACAATAGTAGCACCCATTTGTGAACTTCCTATATTTGTAAGGAGAAAAAAATCTGTCATAAAAAAATGCCTTTATTTAAAAGGTCTAGTTTAATTTTATATAGAATAAGCACTGGATTACGAACCATAAGGTTGGTAGTTTGAGCCCACCAGCTGCTCTGCAGATGATGAGGCTTTCTGCTCTCAAAGAGATTTAAAAGCTTCGGAAACCCTAGACAGAGTCTCTATGAATGAAAACAGACTCCATGGTACTTAAAAACAGCATATATATGTTGGCTCAAAAAGAACTGCAATCCACTTGTTTACTGTAATAGATAACACACATCACTTAACAAGTTTTCCTAAAGATGGTATGTTGATGACTAACAGAAAATTAAAGGAAGTAAAAGGGTAAAAATTATTAATTGGTACTTTCTGTTAAAGAGTTAACGAGTCTTTCAGGAAGTTCCTGGAATGAACAAGAGTACCACAGAATAGAAAAGTTATGGACAATGAACAGTAACAGTCATGTTAATGTAATCAGTAAGCCATGTGGATGGTTTGCATTCCTAGAGGACAGAACAAATAAATGCACTGCTGGGGTGGGAAAGGATCCACCTACTGCACTGGTAGCTTGTGAGTCAGGCTGCTAACCTCAAGGTCAGCAGTTCAAAACTACCAGCAGTTCTATGAGAGAAAGATGAGGCTTTTTGCTCCCATAAAGATTTATAGCCTCAGAAACCCCATACAGGGGTTGCTATGAGTCGGAACCAACTCCACGGCACACCACAACCACCACTCCCTGTTAGTTATTCTTTTACTATACCGCTAGATTTGTTTTGCTAGTCTTTTATCTAGAGTTTTTACAGTTATATTTATTAGTGAGGTTGGCCTGTTCGCTTGTTTTATGCTAATATTCCAACATTTTTTGTTGTTAAGTGCAGTAGAGTGGGTTCTGACACATAGCTACCCTGTATAGGGTTTCCGAGGAGCACCTGGTGGATCTGAACAGCCGATCTAGTGTTTAGCAGTCCAGTGTTTATAGCCCCACACCACAACCTATGGTTTTGAAGCTGATTTTTTTAGTGGGAGAGGTAAAGGAGAGAGAGAGGCTATTTATAGGTAAAGCAAGTTTGCAGAGAGTTCTTATCATGGATGGATACTGAATATGGTTAAATGATTTTTTTTTTTCCATTCACTGAGATAAAGTCCTGAATTATATATACTAATTGATAACATTAATATATTAATTAGTATAACTCAGGACTTTATAATTAAAGTGTCAATAAAGAAACTTGAAACCAACCATATAGTCATGAGATAAACCCCACTTGGTCTTGATGTTTTATTCTTTTTATATACTGCTCTAGTAGTGTAGAGGTTATACAGCAGGCTGTGAGCCTCAGGGTCAGCAGTTCGAAAGTACCAGTTATTCTGTGGAAGAAAGATGAAGCTTTCTGCTCCAGTAAAGATTTACAGCCTCGGAAACCCTGTACAGGGTTGCTATGAGTCAGAACCGATTCCACGGCACATAACAACAACATACAAAACCAACAGCCAACATCACTCTCAATAGAGAGAACTTAAAGCCTTCCCTCTGTGAATAGGAACAAGATGAGGGTGCCCTTTATCACCATTCTGATTCAATAATTGTGTTGGAAGTCTTAGCCAGAGCTATAAAGCAAGAATGGGAAATGAAAGGCATCCAAATTGGCAAAGAAAAAGTAAAATTCACTATTAGCAAATGATATGATCCTATACATAGAAAATCCCAAAGACTCAGAAAAAAAAAAAAAACACCTACTGGAATTTATTATTAGATTTAGCAATGTGGCAGGGTACAAGATAACATACAAAAACCAATCGGCAGCGATGAGGACATGAAGAGTGAGTGCTGGCAGCCAGGATGCAGGCTTGCAGAATGTGCCCTTTGGTTGTTTAAATTATTTTCTATTCCTGAGTGTTTTTGTGTACATCTCCCCACCCCCCCAAAATAAAACACAGAGGAAATGGAAGCAAATACAGCTGAATGATGATGCACAGAGATTATAATCATTGCTATGAAACAATGTTGTAAAGCTGATGTTTTCCCATGTAAACTATCACTCAGTTCACAATAAAAAAGATTTTTAAATCAATCGAATTCCTCTATGTTAATAATGACAGAGCTGAAAAGGAAATTAGGAAAGCAATACCATTTACAATAGCTAGCCAAAGGATGAAATACTTAGAATAAATCTGACCAGAGAATCAAAAGACCTATTCAAAGAAAACTACAAACAGTACAAAAAATTTACTACACAGCCACAGTGGTCATAACAGCCTTGTATTGATACACTGAAAGATATATAAATCAATAGAAAAGAATTGAGAACCCAGAAGTATATCCATCCACATATAGTCAACTAATTGATCTTTGACAAAGGGCCAAATATATTAAATGGGAAAGAGAAATCTCTTCAAACAAATGGTGCTGACAAACAGTAAATCGATTTGCAAAAGAATGAAACAAGACCCATTATCTCACACCATATACAGAAACTAACTCAACATGGATTAAAGAACTAAAAGTAAACATCAGAACTTTAAAGATCATATTGATAACTAGGGACAAACCTAAGAGCCTTAATACATAGCATACATACACTATCAAACATTGGAAAAACACACAAACAACAGAAGACAAAATAAATGACTGGGACATACTAAAAATCAGAAACTTATCTGCATCAAAAGATTTCACCAAAAGAGTAAAAAGGGAGCCCACAGACTAAGAAAAAAATTTTTGCAACGACGTATCAGACAAGGGACTAATCTCTAAAATTTATAGGAAACAACAAGAAAAATGCAAATAATCCAATTAAAAGATGGGTCCAGGACATGAACAGGCACCTCATTAAGGAATACATTCAGGCAGCCTGTTGGCTGCCTGAAACATTCATAAAAGAAGAAACATTCACGATCATTAGCCATCAAAGCAACAATGATGTATCATCTCACTCCAGCATTAACACCGTAGTTTAAAAAAGCAGAGGACAACAAATACTGGCGAGGTGTGGAGAGATTGGGACATTCCTACATTGCTGGTGGGACTGTAAAATGGCTCAACCACTCTGGAAAATCATATGGAGCTTCCTCAGGAAGTTGGAAATAGAAATACCTTGTTGTTGTTGAGTGCTATCAAGTTGATTCCGACCCAAAGTAACCCTGCATAGGTTACCAAGGAGCAGCTGGTGAACTTGAACCGCCAACCTTGCAGCTCAAAACAACTTTGCAGTCCACTGCATTAACCCACAGCACCACACTAGAGCTCCAGAAATACCTTATGATCCAGCAATTCCTCTACCTAGTATATATCCACAAAAAATGCGAGCCAGAACACAAGTAGATATATGTACACCAATGTTCAATGCAGCACTATTCACAATAGCAAAAAGATGAAGACAGCCTAAGTGCCCATTAATGGCAGAATGAACAAACAAACTGGTACATAAACACTGGAACACGATGCTACCTTAAAGAATAATGATGAAGCTCATGACATGGATGAACCCTGAGGACATTATGCTGAGTGCAATTAGTCACAAAAGGACAAATATTATTGCAAAGACCATTATTGCAAAAGGTTAAAAAAAAAAAGATTTCCATACCAAAACAAAAATTCCTTGATGGTTACCAGGAGTGGGATGCAGGACACAGTAATTTACAGGTTAGGTGATAGACGTATGATAGCCCTGGTGACAGGGAGGGCAATGTACAAGGAGAAGGAGGGCAATACACAAGAAAGTTGAGGGGGAATAAGAAAGTATGAGAAGACTTAGGGAGATATCCATGGGATAGAGGTAAACAGTAACGTATACACAACCTTGGAACAACAGGACTCTGTGATATAGTGATAGAGACATAGTCTGAATGTGCAAAGGGGGGAAAGAATATTAAGGGGCTTGGACTGTCTTGTGGATGTTGGTTTATCCTGCCTACTATTGTAAAATAGACATTTAAGTAGGATAGAAAGGAATATTGGAAAATATTAATACAGAAAGCGTGTAAGCCCATTTTGAGCCTATAGTTGATTGAATTACCTAAAAGGGGATATTAGAATTTGCCCAGGGAAATAGCCTTCTTATTTAAACCTTGTGGAGTATGGAATCCTGAGCCCCATCCAGAACTTTCTGAGGTGTAATATTCCCAAAAGAAAAAACATGCAGACCAACCTACAACAACTAGAGGAACAAATGATACTTCTTGAAAGAAAGACTAGCAAAGAAGAAAAAAAAAAGCACAATGTTTGGCTGTGACAACATCAAGCCAGTTGTCTGCCTTGGAGCCATCAAGGCAAGAAATATCAGCCCATCAAGTTAAACCCCCTTTGAAGACTGAAACTCTAAGAACACACAAGCAGTCTTGTATGCATGCTAGTGAGTGGAACTAGAGGAAATGTAGCAATGAAAATATGGGCTGAGTTTGGCCATGTTCCATAAGAACTTGTTGACCTTGAGATGAGAGAGAGAAGAGGAAGGGTTGGCTGGTATGAAGTTTAGGGAGATGTGAGAACTCCCAAGCCCATGGACACTGACCTAGCTACTGGGGGCTAGAGTTGAGAGTAAAGCAGCCAGCTGGTCTGAAGTGAGAAGAGGCATGTGAGAACTCCCTAACTTGCAGCTAGTACCCATTTGATCTAGCTTGGATGGCTAGTTGATCAGAACTGGACCAGATGAAGATAAAGAAGTTTGACACAGGGAACAAGTGTAAATTGCTACAATTTGATGAACTGGACCTTTGCTTATGGATGTAGTTGCTAAAAACTCCAACAAAAAGGGAAGGGATTCTTCGTAACAATGATCAAGCTTGCCTCCTCAGGACACTGTGTTGATAGGGATGGGCAACTTAGACAGTGGCTATCAAAATGGGGGGCTATAAAGGCACAAGTCCTGGTGTAGCACTGTGAGTTAATGTGCTGGTCTGCAAGGTCAGTTTGAACTGCAAGGCCAGTGTGGTTCAAGCCGCTCCTCGGAAACCCTACACAGGGTCACTATGAGTCAGAACTGAT